TATAGATTCTGGCAGGAGCTGGTGGGAACCTTTGAAAACTAAAGACAGAATCAATGAGGGGGGGCATCAGAAACAAATACACAATGTTCAAAAAACTCACAGTGGGCTCAAAAAAGGAGAGGCAGAGGGGGGACACAAATGGAGAGGGAGATAGGAGTACAATGGCTGTGGAAAGCAAAGTTCAATAGAAATTGTTAGTACCCAAGGGCTGGGACCTATCAGAATCCAACCCAAGGGGGAACAAAGATGTACTTCCATTGTAAGACACACAGGAGTGGTTGTAGAGGGAATATTGTTTCCAGAATCCTCCTGGCTTAAAGCCTGGAGCCAAACAAGGAGAACAATACAAATAATTAACGGAGTGGTGGAATTAACTTACAGGGAATTCTTTCTACTTTTCTTCACCTGGTGAGATCAAGTGTAGTATTAATTTCACATCAGATAGGTCTTCTATTGGGGAACTGTATCCTGTTCTGGCAAAAGATGATCTAGTAGATTTTTTTCCAGTCCCAACTTGGAGGATGTAACAAATTATGTATAGCTTGGGAAAGTGATGCCCTGGGTCTGCTGCACCAGGGGTAGGTTTTGAAAATATCTAAAATGAGTAAACTTCAAGGAGGGAAAAGAAATACAAAAAGTTGCATTCCAAAAGAAATAAAAAGCAAGAGCTGATTTCTTTTCCATGTGCACAGAATCTATATAGAGAAGGAAGCCCAATCTTATATTGACTCTAGGTCATTGATGTTGTTTGTTTTGTGTTTGTTTATCCTTTCATAAAATATAGCTTATGTTCCAAACCCATTTTGGATAGCAAATGCCATACCCAATGTTCAGGTGAAAAAACTGAGTATTTTATTTTTATTCAAACGCAGAACAAATAAGTGAAAAAGGCAAGAATATAAACCAATTCTCTGGCCAATGGAATAAAACAGAGATCTGCAGGCCTACATTTTCCTATCAAATTCAAGATATTTTTCTTATGGCTATAATTTAGTCTATAACTTGTGACTCAAATGTCACTGCCCTTCAATTGCATTAATGAAACATCGCCGATCACCTTGTTATGAGTGAGTGCACGCTGCAGTTGACAAAGCACTCCTCTTCCTCCCTCACTGATGCACATTAATGATTGGACACTGGGCGTGTTTTCAGGCTGCTTTTGTTCCTGTCAATATTTGCTGCCATAAAACCCCATTTAGCTTCCGGATTTCTTGAGTGATGCGTTAAAGAAGAAAAAGTGTCAAGTCAGTGAGTTAATGGACCATTTTTTAATGTGGTTTTTCTTTGGCATCTATTCTAGAGTTATCCATTTTGTGTACCCTTTCCAAAAGCTAATCTCAAAATATAAGTCTGCAATTTTAGAGCTGATTAGAGCTCACTTTGGCCAAGTGAAATAGACTCTTCAGAGAGCAGTTTGGTAGAGTGAAAAGGTCTGACTCTAAAGTTTCACAGTTTTAACTTGGAATCCTGGCCTGTACTATTTGAGTGACCTTGAGAAAATTATTGAACTTCTTTGAGGCTCAGTTTCTTCATCAGTAAAACAAAGAGAATAATACTAACCTCAGAAGACTCTCGAGGATGACAACATTTGAAGCCTCGATCTCCACCTATTATGCATTTTTTTTTAGTACCGGGGATCAAACTCGAGTTCTTGTGCTTGTGAGGCAGGCAGTGGAACCACTGAGCTAAACCCCCGACCCCTATTATGCATTTTTAATGTTTATTCAATACTTTATTTCAAGGAAAGATTTTATTTTATTTTTTGAGACAGGATGTCACTATGTAGTTCAGGCTGACCTTGAACTTGCTATGTAGCCCAGGCTGGCCTTGAACTTGAAGTGATCCTCCTGCCTCAGCCTCCCGAGTGCTGGGATTCCAGGCGTGCACCACCACACCTGGCTGAAGGAAAGATTTTATAGTCATGAGATTTGAAAACCTCTCATGTACCCTAATATTAACATTACCAATGAGGATAATGTGGCATAGAGCAGCTGTCACTTTTTCAAGTACAGAGAATCCATAGTAACTCCTAGCATTGGGCTCTTCTCACTACCATAAACTACCTATGACCCATAGAAAGGCTATGTGAATTTCTAAAATTGATCTCCCAGGAGGAAAAGGTAGTTGTCTTATAGCATATGTTTTATCCTATTATTATGGATGACTTTTACATGTTCCCTAACTGAAAACTGCAACCTACAATAGAGCATACCTACTTGATTGATTAAATGGGTTTAATTGAACTCACCATTATGAAGATACCCCCTATAGATGCCTGATAAATAGGCTGAATGCAGGTGATCCAACTAAACTCTTAATTGATTAACCTTCTCCCAAACAGTGCTTATATGTACTTTGGCCCTCTTTCATTCCAACTCTAATGATGGAAATAGCCCATTGGTCTAACATAGACTATCTTTTCTCATTTACCTTGTTTTGACCTTATTTCAGGACCTTATATTTTATCCAATCTAAAAAGTGCTAATTGTAGAAATACCTTATTTTATTTTCTTTTGCTCTGGTTGTTGTTTTTGTGGTGCTGGGGATCGAGCCCAAGTCCTCATCTATGCTAAGTGGGTGCTTTACCACTGAGCTACATTCTCAGCTAAACTGTCCATTTATGTCCTGCTAAGAAATAAAGCAAACATGCCAATTAAATTTTTTTTAATTCTTTTATTGGTACATTTTAGGTATACAACACAATTACATTTCTCATTGGGAACTTGTACCTTTACATGATGCATCTTGGTTCTTATTTTTTCCCCATTCCTAGCCCTCCCTTCACCCCCTCCACCCTTCCCTATTTACAAAGACTTTATTTCCATTTTTTCCATTTCTCATCATTTTTTCCTTTCCCTTCTTTCCTTTCCCCTGCCCCTCCCACTACCCCTACCCATTTGGACCTTTTCTTCCTATTTTACATTATCAATTATTCATTCTAATCATTGGTACATTTTAGGTATACAATATAATGACATTCATCATTGGAAATTTGCAACTTTACATAATCTCTCTTGGTTCTTATTTTTCTTCCTTGCCCAGCCCTCCCATCAACCCCTCCAGTCCTCCCTACTTACAAAGATTTTGCTCCTATTTTTGCATTTTCTCATATTAATCCCATTCCCTTCTATCCTTTCCCCTAGCCCTCCCACTTCCTTCCCCTTTGCCCCTTTTCTTCCTATTTCACATTACCTATTATACATTTTAGTCCTTATTTACACTTTCAGTTTCTCACAGCAGAGAATCTATTCGGGATTTATACATGTGTGTCCTATTTATTTCACTTAAGAGTATTGCCTCAATGTGCATCCACTTAGCTATAAATGTCTCTAATTTCTCATTTTTTATGGCTGAGTAGTACTCCATTTTATAAAAACACCACATTTTCTTTATCCAGTCTCCAGTTGATGGGCATTTGGGCTGTTTCCAAGTTTTAGCTATCACAAACTGTGCTGCTAAGAACATGGGTATACATATATCACTGTGGTATGATTCTTTTAATTCTTTGGGAAAATTCCCAGCAGTGGAATAGCGGGGTCAAATGGGACTTTCAGTCCTAGTTCTTTGAGGTATCTCCATACTGATTTCCACAGTGGTTGCACCAGTCTACACTCCCACCAGCAGTGGAGCAGGGTTCCTCTTTCCCCACAGCCCTGCCAGCATTTGTTATTGGTTGATTTCATGATAGCAGCCATTCTTTCTGGGGTGAGGTGGAATCTCAGCATTGTTTTCATTTGCATCTCTCGAATGACCAGTGATGTTGAACATTTTTTCTTATGTGCTATTTGTACTTCTTTGTCTGAGAAATAAAAAGTTTCAAAGCCTGTAGTTTAGAAAAGTCATTTGCTCTTCTCTGTGGAAGAAGAGCATAGACCAGTCATGCTGCGTGAACATGGACATTGGGTACTTCATGTGTCATGGTTTAATTATTCCCCTGGCAACAGAGCTTATACCAGGTGACTCTAAATGGACTTTATCATACTTCCTAATAATTTCATTTGGTGCAGTATCAAAATCATCCAACCTGTATCATAGGATAATGAAGTATTTTGTTCCTTTTGCTCAGGCATCACTTACATTCATAACATGAAAATGAAATTTCAACTTTTCAAACTCACATATCCAGTTACTTATAAGGTAATACTATCTTCAGTGGAAAACTTGTTTTTTTTTAAAGCATGTTTTATGTGAGTGAAAATACTGGTTGAAGATGTTTTTGGTCTGCATTATTTTCATTTTCATATCTGACAAACAGGCAGAATTCAAATTTACACCTTCTCTTCCCAAGTTCAAATTATTATATCAACATATACTGACATAACTTAGAATATTTCATGTATACTAGAAGGTATTTTATATTTACTATGGGCGGAGATTAGTATGTTATTTTAACAAAAGACCAGAATTGATGGCTTTGTAATACAAAGGGAACTCGATGTTCCAGCACTTTCCTTACTCTTTCTTGACCCACACAAAAGTATGCTGGGGAGACAATAGAAGAATGTCACTTGCAAAGACTTAAGGCAATGCTGAAAGAATGTTATAGAAAGGAGGCAGCTTAGCTGGTGTGAATCTTTCTCCTCCTGCGCCATGATAAATCTGCAGGAACTTCAAGGAGGGCTGAGGTGTGGGATGACTTCTGCGGATGTGCTTTCCTCCTTTCTGATCATTATATGTTCTTTCCTTGTCCCTGAGAGGAAAATAATGTGCACCACAGGAGAGGATCAGCCAGAACAAGCTGTATTTAAATTCTTCCACCCAACCAGGAATTGTAAAATCACTGCACAGACCTAAGGATGAATACCAGAAATCTATAATAAATGGAAGTCACATTTTCCTTTGCATAATTTTTGTACTGTCATTACAAGCAATTTTCCTGAGATAAAAGCTTTGAAGATGTACTTTTCAGACACATTTTTCCGCACAATGATTGCTGTCTCAGAATGTCATTGCAATTTCTTACTTTTCTTGAGCTAAATTTATCCTGTTTTCTCCCTTAGGCAAATATAAATATTCCAATGGGAGCCTTTCGGCCAGGAGCTGGGCAACCCCCCAGAAGAAAAGAATGCACTCCTGAAACAGAGGAGGTGAGGACAACTTAGCCAGCAGAGCTCAGTGAGGTCTGTCTCCTCCAAAATCCTCACTAAAGGGGGATAGCAGCAAGACAGACCTGTTCTCTAGGGTGAGGGAGGGGCAAATAGTTGTGTGTCAAGAATTCAACGTATAGTGTGGAGGTATCTGGAGTTGTCTTATTCAGCCATTCAGGAAACTCCCTGTCTCTCCCCTCCCTTCAGCCAAAGCTCAGTGCCTGGCACAGCTACTTGAAGATACTGAGCTTAACTTCCAGTTGTTCATGGATTTTGTGTATCGTGGGAAGGGCACAGTCTCTCAGACGCTTTTGCCCTAGTGATAGTCACTAGATCGGCCAGTAGGTTCCTCCTGTAAACTCAGAAAGACACCCTCTCAGATGTGAAGAGGAGAATGTGCCTCAACGGGAAGGATGCATCTTTAGCTATCTGACAAGGCCTGTGAACATGGCTGTCTCTGGCTCACCCGTAGCCTCTAGAGAGCCCTTTGCTTTGCTCACAGAACTGGAGAGCACTCTGTGCACTTGTCCCACCAGACATGGGCATGTGCCTGGCACAGGGGCCTAACAGCCAAATCCTCATAAGCAGGGCTGGGCTTTGCCAAAGACAAGCAGTTGCTTGCTTGAAGTGATTTGAAGGGTATTGACGAACCCTGACTAAGCCTCCCAAATCTCTCTTGTAACTGAAATAGCATCATTATTAAGCTACAAAACAGCACATTGGGATTTTCTGTTAAATATTCCCCCTTTCTTCTGGTTGCTTTAAAAGATACAAACACGACTTAATTCTGGTTCAGCCATTTCTTAGCAGGGTGACCTTGGGCATGTGTCTTGGCTCCCCTGTGCCTGAGTCTCTTCTACCCTAAGGAAGGGACAAGAGTAATATGGTACATATTTACAGGGTTATTGTGAGGATTAAATGTGTTAGTACATGTAGCTTAGAACAGCTAGCAGTGTGCTTGCTGTTACTGTGATGTCTCCAGTGTTTGAGCCTGAATGAGCACATCAGACTGTATTGCCCCACACTGGAGAGTTTGGAGCAAAACTCAGTAGGGCATCTGGTAGTAAAGAGTTGAAAACAAGATAGTTGGAAAATGCTTCACCATTTTGCTAAGTTTTGCAAATACCCTGTGACCCCTCTCTCCCCAAAGCAAGCATTTCTCTTCTTAACACCTATTCCTGAAACTGAGAATGCTGCTATGCTACATGATTTCGCTCACACTTTCTTCATCCAAAAAATGCCTTCCATGTCTCTTCTCAATTGAAACATCTATTTACAAAACAAAAAAAGAATGTATTTAATTAGTCAAACAGGGCCACCTGGAACCTGTTTGTTCATCCCTTAATTTATTGTAATGCTCAGAATAAATTTATAGAAGAAATGGAATCTGATTTCCATTATATTTTTAAAAGATGACAGAAGATTCAGTTTAAAAATGCACCACTATAACTCTCCATTCTGAGTCAATATCCTAACAGCAAATTATTAAATATATCCCCTTACAATTTTCCACTCTTGCCACCTTACCATATCAAGTGCAAAAAGTCTTACCTTGATACATAAAGAGCACAGGCTTTTAATAAATTGAAAGGAAGATGCACAGTATTAAATAATATTATTAATCTGCATATATTCATATACTTCATTGCACATAGCCATGTAAGTGCATATAGACATTGGCTTTATGTGTTAAGTGTGCCAATACAGCACATTTGAATGTTACAAAGATAGTGACTGTGACTTACCCAGGAACTTAACAAAGAATTGGAAAAATTTTACTCTTTCATACTTCTTTATTAAGATCTATCCACCTAACAACCATGGGACCATTTATAAGTGAGGAAACATTTTTCATTTCACTGCTACACATATTTTTAAAAAAGCAACACTTTGTAGCCTAGTTAAAAATTCCTTCTCAAAGCCCAACAAGGAACATTTTGGAATACCTGGCCTCCAAGTGGATGTTTAATGAACAGTTCTAATTACTGCTTCCATATCCATGTTTATAAATGATGAGTGTGTGTGCATGGTGAAAAACAGCCAATCCTATGGCTCTGTAGTTTGGCCCAGGAAAACAGTATCTTCCAGACTTTTACAGCAGGTGTAGTCTACATTGAATTACTTTATCATTTCATGTGGGTGACACATTAGCTGTTTCATCAGCACTGTAACAGATTTAGAGAAAATGACTATAGGAAAAACCATTAGCCCTCAGTAGAAGAACAGTGCTTCAATATATTGTGTGTCTACTCATCCCCTCCAATAGGCAATTTAAAAGCATTTCTATAAAGGACATGTCTATCAAGTAATTTGGAGAAGCTTGAACATGTTCTTTCTTTAGGTTCTAACCAATTTGGGAGCCTGTGTTAGTTTGGGTCCTCCAAGAAGCAGATCTAAAGTTGGGTTTAGATGTGCATAATGTTTATTTGGGGAAATACTTGTAAGGAAAAATGGGAGGGAGCTGCAGGAGGCTGAAAGAGCCATCAGACGGTGGTGCAGGGGATGCAAGAGGTTCCGGGTGTCAGCAGAAGCAGCTCAGACTTCTGTGCTGCTCTCAGGCCAATTCTCCAGCCCTTTACTGCTCAGAGGAGTCTCAAGTCTCACTGGATCGGCCCGCCTTGTGATTCCTGTTGCACTCAGTCATTGGTTACCAGCAGCCATGGGAAAGGTGACCTCAGTGTAGTGAGGAGTGGATTTCAAGGGAAAGCAGCTGGGGCCTTCATTCAATTACTCTCCCTGCCGTAATCTGATCCAAGGCGCGTTCTCCTGGCTGCCCCGGTGATCAAATGTTCCTCTGACACCTTCCTCCTAGGGCCACAGCGAATAGGAGGACTAGACTAACAATCAGCTTGCTTCTGTAGTAATAAGTGGGAGCCACACACAGAAAATCATTATTGTTTTAGTTACTGTTCTTTGTGTGTTTAGTGTATGTACATAAAGGTATGGATTTGTGACTATTTACATTCTCAGGATTAATCAGTTAAGCAATAATCTGTAATTGCGCATTGGAGGAGCCACAGAAAAGGATGGGGTGTGGATCTTGCCTTAAAACTGTGAAAAAATATAACAGCAGTGATAGAAAACTTAAAATATGCTCCCACCCATCCTGCTCATATTCAAAGACATTTTCCTTATACTTTTTAGTTTGTTCTTCCTTCCTAAACATGTCATGGGACCAACAGTCACCACATCCCAAACAATACATTGAAAACGTTCTGGACTAAGACATTGTTTTAGGGCCAGCCATGCACTAAGGTTTTACAGATCTGTGGTATCAGGCATAGTTTGATCATATGATACCAAATTAAATTTGAAAACCTAACTGCAGGTAATTTTTATTAGTTACCAGATGTTCTAGTGTTTTCTAAGTCACATGGAAATTACTTGTTTTCTTCCTCCGACTTTATTTTACCAAACTTTAGATCTTATTGTAATTCTGAGGCTGTCTCAGTAACACAAGAGAAAATCACTGCTAGAACCACAAGGTGGCATTATTCTTATTTTAATTTTTTTCTGGTTCTTATTCATGAGCTTAGAGATCAAATGTCCTTCTTGGGGAGTTTAATTTCTTCTCCTTTTGCTTCAGGGAGCTCCTCCCACCTCAGATGAGGAAAAGAAGCCAATTCCAGGAGCAAAGAAACTGCCAGGACCTGCAGTTAACCTTTCGGAGATCCAGAATATTAAAAGTGAACTGAAATATGTCCCCAAAGCTGAACAGTAGTTGGAAAAAAATAGGTGAGTGAAAAACTAGTGCAGAAGAAGTTTGGACTTCCAGGAGCATTTATAAGTATGAAGGGCCTTCACTTTAGACCAGTATTTCTGGTACAATTTTCTGGTAAACTCAAGCTTTTGGGCTTATTCCATAACTAATTGGAAATCCGTTGAGGATGCTTCTTCACTAAGGGAGGATGAGTTTGGGAGAAGAAAGATGCGGGGGAAAAGGCTTTGAGGAGCTCTTGACTGTTGGGTCCAGGGAGCCCTCCCTCATTGTATGCTTCAGTTTCCCTGCTCAAATACCACAAGGAGCAGTGAAAGATTTCTTTAGCTAGAAGATCAGGGTAACAAGAAGCTGAACAGGTTTAGTGTGAAGCAGCAGAGACCCAGAATTCAGACCTTGAAAAAAAGTAACCCAAGTATGAGTATGGCACGCTGAGAGAACCTCCTAACGATGCTGGGTGTGGATGGTAAGGGGAGGTTCAAAGCGGCATGCTGCCCTGACAAGGTGCTCCGCAAAGGGTTTGTCATCCTACGGCCATTTTAATTGATCTATTCAATTATGGACTCCTGGCAAGGGCTCAGCCCACCTTCTATCTCCAAACTGGGTTTCTGTTAACCGGAATAGAAATTCTGTCAACAGGCTGAGTGTGGAATTGACCCAAATCACAGCTTTTTCTCCTACGAGACCTTGGAAACAAATCTACCCTTTATCTGACATTAGGAAACCCCATCATGAACACTCTATTTCCTAAGCAGATGCCTGGAGGAGGGGACTCTATACTGGGAACACAAAACAGGTTTTTATCTGGTTGATTGTTCATTCATTCATTCATTCGTCTATTCACTCATTTACTCAATGATCACTAGAAACATCAATCACTTATACCATACGCCAGATACTATGTGAAGAGCAGTCTATCAAATCCTTCTTGTAAGCTTCAGCATACCCAACTATTGCCTTCATTCTTGAAATGATTTTTGGGAGACTAATTTTCCATCTATCATGCATCCTAAAGAGGGGTATGATTTCAAAGTTAGTGCTGTTACCTACTGGTTATACTTCCTCCTACCACACCTTACAGATGGATCGCACACTCTCTGTTTGTGTTGGAGTGAAATCTTTTGATCATGTAGATGACAAAGGAAAATATTGAGGCAGGTGGGACCCTGTTATGCCTTCTCCTGTAGGCAGAATGAAGAGCAGAATGTTCTGTGTGACAATGCAATGCTTTATGATCATGTTATTTGTGTCATGCTGTGTGGACTTACTAGGACATTTGCAAGTTAGTTCTGCAGAAAAGATTTCTTTGTAGTCTAGAGAAAGAAGCCATTTTGAGTTAAAGTACAGTAGCTGGTGTTTTTAGCACAATTCCATAAAAGAACAAAGTAGTAAGAAAAAGACAGTGTATTCCATGCCCATAGAACAAATCTCTGGAACCTGGATAGGGACTAAGTGACCAGAAATGTGACTGTATGCACTGGTTATATTATTCATGACAGAATGGAACAAACCAATGACTGATGCTCTGTCCTGATTCTGTTGCCAAACTGAAAGGAAATATTCCAATACATTTGGGATGAAGCTACAGAAGTTCCTTCTGAGAAATCCCAGAGAAGAATGATTAAGTTTTTGTAATATTTATTTATCATCACCCAACCAAGGTCATTTAGTTAGATACATGAATTTGTAATGCAAACGTTAAAAGATTTTACTTTGATGAAATCCATGTCGACCTAAATTTAACCCCAGTTTCAATTTCAGAAGAATTTGGTTTTGAAGACTCAAAGTAATGCTGTTTTCAAATGAGCTCAGAGAGGATCTTGCAGTGTTCCGTGGGAGCAGGTTTGACTCAGTGGCCTCAAATGTTTGGTTACAGGGAACAAGGAACAAAACCAACTCGATAAAATATTGAAAAAGAACCAGAGTGCCCAGAATGCATTTTTGTTTTTTATTTTCTCAGAGAAGATATTAATGATTCTTCTCTCTTGAACAAATTCTAATGTGAAACCACTCACAGAAGCCTATTTGTCTTTATTCTTACAGGAATGTGAAAATGTAAGTTGACAGAGTAATTGATCTGAATTCCAAATGAGTACAGTCATTGATTTAAGCCAAGGAATGAACTTTGTCTTGGGTAGGAGAGGTAATAAGCTGATTTGCTTTAGATGCATCTATTCTCCTGCAAATTTGAAATTTTGAGACTTCCATGGTCATGGTCTGTGGTCACAGAGGGAAGCAGTTTTTAACATTGATTGATTTAGTGAATTCATAAGGAGCAAATACAATGGACCAGTCACCACTTAGTCATTCATTGATTGGATTGATTCCTCCTTCTTAGGCCACCATTTTGTTGTCACTGACCCTCACCTTGTATTGTCTAGTTATTTGATCAAACGAATCACTGGTTTAAACATTGTGTGACTAAGTACCTTATGTCCATAGTGTCAAACACTGAAAATCATGAGACTCAAGGCTCAAAATCCATATTATAACCATGACAGTACTTTAGATGTATAAGACAGAGCAGCATCTCCTTCCAGGCGAGATCAGCGCCTTTTTTTTTTACATAGGATTTCAGAAACATTCCACAACTTGTCTCATGTCCAGAATTGTTCATGGAATTTGATTAAAAACATTATAGCACAAGACCAGAAAGACCAATGACTAGCCCATTAGGGATCAGGAATTATGACTTATAGAAAAGAATGTAGGGCCTGGACCCTATCAGGGGAACCATACCAGACAACAAAAAGACAGCACATTCCATGTCAAAACCAAGAGACATGGGAATTTCCCAAGTGGAGATCCAACCCCAGCTATAAATGGCATGGATAGGGAAGGCAAGGTGTTCAGCCACATAAATCTTGAGATTGAGCTGGCTACCATTTAATGTGGCCAAATGGTGACTTAAGAGACTCCAAGAGCCAGATGTATAGGTAAGACCATCAGCAAGGTCTGAAAACCAAGTGACCTCTGACACCCTCATGCCTGCTTGCTTGTGAAATTATTAGGACTCTCACAGGCCCACCCCCAGAAACCACTGTCAGCTTGTTTGCTTATAGCTGCAGCCGGTACCACATCATAGACGCAGGTCTGCAGAACTTATAGAACTGCTCGGGGCTGGTGTCCAGTTTTGCTCCTCCTCAACCCTCAGTTCAGACCACCTGTGCTTAGTAAAGAACCCTTGTAATTAATTCTCATACTTTGGGCACATTCTTCTTTCTGTACTAAGATATACAGATACTAAACATGGTCCGTTCTCTAAGGGTACCTAAGTCTTGATGGTAAGATAAAAAATTTCCAAAGGTACATAATTTTAGATAGCAGTTCCATGTTTCAGGACATCCTATGCTGTTTCTGACTGCCAAGTAAGTAGGAAAGATATTCAGTGTTATTACTTATAAGAAGAGGAACTCATGATGATTTGGAATCAAGGACAATTTCAAGGCAGTAGGGAGAAAACAGTTTAAACAGAAACTCAGAGATTAGCCTGTGGACATGTGAACCTTTGAGGCATCGTTAATAGCCTGATGAAACCAAACAGCTCCTCTAGGGCAATACTTCATTCACTTTTGGGATGGAGCAACCTGTCTCTTCTCTTTTTCCAGGGGCAAAAGAGTTCAGTGATAACAAAGAACTGAAAAGAAATAAAATAAATATTAAGTGGGTAACAATACAGCAATTATAAAAAAAAGAAACAGGGGCCAAGGATTTACCTCAGCGGCACTGCGCCTGCCTTGCAAGTGCAAGGTCCTAAGTTTGATCCCCAGTACCAAAAAAAAAAAAAAGAAAAAAAGAAACAAAGGTAAAGCCTAAGAATAATTGTACAATTACAGCAGTGGACACTGATACAGCAGCAAATGAAAGCCCTGGGACTGATGTGGCCCCAGAAAGACATGATCATTCTGAAGTTTCAGGAGCTCTATCCTCATTGTGGGATGTTGGAGCATGACCATGCATTGTGTGGCAGGCAGGCCTTATATGATAGTGGTATATGTACATACTAAACTAGAGTCTCAGCGAAATGCAAAACAGTTTTGTGATTTGTCATTTTTCAACACATAATAATTGCACACATTTATGGGCACACTGTGGTAATTTGATGCATGCATACAGTGTGGAATGATCAAATCAGTGTAATTAGCATTTTTTATCCTTAAACTTCTGTCATTTCATTGTGTTGCAAAGCTTCAAATTCCTAGTTCTTTATAAAATATCTAATAAATTGCTGTGAACTACAATCACTGTGCTGTGCTCTAGAGCACCAACCCTATTACTCCCATGTAACCACACTGTGACACCTGTTATCCAACCTCCCTCTCTCCCCCTTCCCCTCATAGTCTCTGGTGATCACTGTTATATTCTCTACTTCTATGAAAACAACTTTTTTGTAGCACACTTTAGTTAAGATAATGAAATACTAGCCTTTCTGTGCCTGGTTTATTTCACTTAACAGTTCTATCCACATTGCCACAAATGACATGATTTTGGTGATTCTTAGTAACTCACTTAGTAGCTTTTGGCTATGTATAAAAGTGAAAGCCCATGGATTAACCCACATTTCCAATGAAGAACTGAAGAAAGAACTTGCATTTTTTCCATAAGTCTTTTGAGGTAAGCCAGTGAGCCTTGGACCATACTTTGAGACATGTCGCTGTAGGGCAATAAATGAGAGTACATTGGAATGATATGGTATTCCCTTGCACCCAGACACAGCTCTGTAATCTCAATTTAGTCTGTATCCTACATTCCACACTGACTAACCAGCCTCAGTTCTGGATTTGGTAGATTTGAAAAGAATCACTAGCATGCCCTGCTGGGGAATGAGTGACTTTGTCTTAGTGTGCTTGGGCTGCTATAACAAACAATGTAGATTAGGTGGCTAAACAACAGACTTTTGTTTCTCACAGTTCTGGAGGCTGAAAGTCCAAAATGAAGGTGCCAGCATGGTCAGGTTCTGTTGAGGGCCCTTTTCCTGGCTTGCAGACAGCTGTCTTCTCTGAGTCCTCACATGGTA